GCTGCCCTATGACAACCTCATCAACTGCGGACCACAAGCTTGTCGTACGTGGAGCAGCTTAACGTGGCGAATTGCGGAATTGGTGGTGACGTGGGTGTGGAGCGGCGAACAGAAATGGCAACTCACAGAGTTCGACGGCTGTCGGCGAATCAGGACAATGGTACCGCAAATCATGTTTCGGCTCCTAGTTTTGCTTTGGTTACTTGTGGATCAGCGGACACATGGGGCAAGGGGGCGCCGCATGTGGCGGAAAGGGCAGCGCGATACGGCGACACACGTCCCTCAGCATGGAGACGGGCGCGCCACCTCGCATGAGAGATGTGAACAGCTGCGTGACGCGCCTTTACAAGTGCTTCGCGGATGATGTGCCATGGGGAGCTTCCTCGTGAGTGTTTGATTTGTCGATGGGAGGTTGACACAGCCTTGCATAAATCCATTGTTAAAACAGCTGGCGGCGAGCCATTGTTGGCATGGCTTTTTGGACTTCTAATGGAGGCGTACGATTACCTCTGTAACTGCTGTTCTCGATCTCTGCTGCACTAGACTATGTTAAAAATACTGTCTTAGTGCAGCACTCCGTACTGTGGTCAACCAAAAGGGTAGCTAGCCGCAGTAAGCATACCAAGTCATCTGCTGCCAGGGCAGTGGCATCGATGCGCCATTGTGGGGCCATTACTCTTATATGCTACAGCGATACTTGTCCAATGGCCAGGCAGCAACATTGCTCCATTTGTGAGCCTTTTTGCACACATTTGTTCGGTGCTGCACTGGTGCGGCAACCCATCCTGTTTGGCACATAGTTGGGGCAGCTGTCCGCGCCTCAAGGCCTTAAAACTCGCAGTGGCCTTGACAGTCTGACTGCTTGTGGCGCGTTCCGGATGGCCAATTCAGCCACACGAGCCTGGCTCAGAAGACCACCGTCGGCTCTATATTATCTCCGGGGGGACGGTCCCGCTTACGCTTGGCACTCATGGCGTTTGCGATCCGCACGTAAAGCACACGTACACCAGACTCATCCAGTGCACATGCATGGTGAGTGTGATGGGGAAGCGACGGGGGCCTCGCCAGCGCGCGAGACTGTCTGTGTTACACGAATGGCGAAGATCAGCTGAACCCTTCGCGTGGTCGCTTTCTCGTACCGTGACTCCACCACGTGGTGCCGCCCCTTTTGGGAAGCCGGCCTAAGGGAAGGGAAGACCAAGTGGGAGCTGGCCGGCCGTGCAGCAACCTCCCACATTGTTGTCAGCGCAATGGCCGGCCTTGCTGGGACAGTTGTGAAACCTGCCCTCCACGACGGCGGCTGCCGCTGTAGGGTCAAAGGGGCACCGGGGCTTGTGGCAGCCCTTGCCAGGTGCGGCGCCGTTTCATTCGGTAGGATTTCCAGCCTTGGCCGGCATCACGGCTTGCTGCGGTGGATCAGTGCGGTGGTTCAGTTGACGCTGCCCATGGCGCCGTCGTCCACGCGCCCTCGTGAACCACCCAGCCTGTCACAACACCAACGGGCACTCATACCTCGTTGGCGCTGTCTTTCTGCCTTGGATGACAATCCATTGGACCCTAGTGTCGCGTCGTACAGCCGTGGCGAGCGGAATTGCTGCTCGGGCTGCAATCACTCCACTGGGTGTTACCGGCCAACGGCGAAGACTCGCGCGTTGGGCACAAGGCGAACGGGCAAAGGGTGGGGAGACGCCGTCCACGGAAGTCTCCCCGGCAACGTCGGGAAATAATCTTACTGCCTGCACCAAATCGGTGACTGTTTGCACTAAATCACGTGCACAATATGTCCTAACCTCAGTTTCAGGGTTAGGTTTAGTCTTAGGGTGAGTTTTAGGGTTAGGTTTAGGTTTAGGACAGGTTTAGGTTCAGGTTTTAGGGTTTAGGTTTTTAAGTTAGGCAAGTTTTGGAGGGAGTTGGTGCATGCAGTCACCGATTTAGTGCAGAAAGTCACCGATTTGGTGCAGCCAGTAATTGTATGCTGCAACGTCGGTGGCTCTGCCCTCGATGACCGTTTGGGGCTTGACGACGCCTGTGGTCTGGGAGCACAGGCAATCTTGGCACGTGGACACGGTGCGCCAGAGTTCAGGTTCCAAAATTGAAAGCAAACCCGACAGGGTGTTCCGATTGATTGTGTGACTTCCATCAAAAATTTGTGACCCCGATCCAGCCTCAATCTGAATTGTCACTCGTAGTACAGCGAAGGGGGTGGGTCTCGCTGTGGTAGACCTTGGATGCACAGCCCCGCCAGGCCTGAGCAGTTCCTATAGAAAACCAACCAGGCCGGTATCTCTTCACCGTTTGAACACTGTGTTGCATCGCTTTGATCGCCGGGGGTTGTGAAAGCTTACGTTCAATCCAATTGTGCGCCAAGACATCCCAGTACGCCCCCGGTATTGTTGCGACTTGCTGTACATTTTGCACCCAAAACCAGTAAAGAAGAGTGCTTGGGTTTGGGGCATCTGGCGGGCGGCTGGCTAGCCTGGCTTTCCCACGTGTCGGCGGGGCAATCGCAAAGACACCTGTGTGACTGACTCTACCCAACAATCTCGCCCCGAATTCTTCCACCCACGCGGCCGGCTTGCGCCACCTGCCCCAACGGCCGGCAGCTTACCCGCCGAGCAGCAGTGCGCCCTTGCCCTGGCGCTTCCTCCGCCGTCACGGGAGGCGCCGACTGGTCCCCGTCGGCCCATCGCAATGGTCACCGGCGGGCCGGGTTGGCCGGCATTGACGCAGCGCTGGCCGACACCAAAGCCCATGGGCCAATTGCGACGTGGATCGCCGCATCCGGAGGTCGGATATCGGGAATGAAGATTCCGCACGGCGTTGCCAACCGTTGCACTCAAGGCCACAACCCCGTTGCCCCGGGCATTGGCCCCCAACCCCCTTCTGTGCAGAAGATTGGACTGTTCTCTGCGTAGAGAATGCACACACCAAGTTGTGTCCCCGAGCGAACAACGATGGTGTATTTTCCGTTTCCAGCGGCTAAAATGGCACAACTGCTCCGCAGCTAAATCGGGGGACCGAGCAAATTGGTATATGATGAAGAGGGGGGGGGGGGGAAATTCGCCCATCGCCAGTCCCCGACCAGCCAAGAAGGCCTGGCGGGGTATAGCGACGTCAACAGGTGCAGCCGGAAAAGGCCATTGGCTGAGGCGGCCAAAGGGGCTTCATTTCTCCTGGACTTGATGCATGAACCGGTGTGAGGTGACCTGTGGCAGTTCGCGGTGCAGGGCACCCAGAATGGGGCATCGGCAAAGTGGGTGGACAACGTGCATGGTCGTAACGATTGCTGCGCTGCTGCCACCCACCTGTGGCCAGCATAGTCCCGATGGTGAGCAGTGAGGATGCTGGCAAAGATTTTCTATGATTTTGGGATTGGGGATGTCCCAGTTCTCTATACTGAGTTATTGCTGTTTTGAAATCACCAGCCACATTCTGTTCCTATTTCAACCCGGCTGGTACTGTCTCAGCAAGTGGGACGGCGGCGCTCCAGTATTCGCTGGAAATCTTACGATCGCTGCCCCCATGTACGAAAATATGGATCGGGCCAAGCGGACTGATGGTGGAGAAGGACACTGAGAGATGTGTGGCTGTTTGCCTTCTGGTCTAGGGGGCTTATTGGGACGGTCCAGTACCCAACAAGGTAGAGCGCAGTCAGAGCCGCCACAGTTCAACAATATTTCAACTGCACAAAGCCAAGAGCTGCACCATACTTGTGTAAGCAAGACTCCTGTGGCAATTCACGTTGTTGTTTGAAGGGGCGGGTCAGCCCCTCTAGGGATTCGCCCATGATACTAGCACATGCAAATTTGCTTGCCCCTGTTGTCTGATCAGTGACTGTGCAGAACTGACAGTAGAAATGTTCAATTGTACCAACAGATTTTCCTTTTTTGGACACCGTTGACGTCCCTACTTTACAACTTGCTCTTGTGGAGCAGGTCCACGGGAAGTAAGTCGTTCTGTGTTGCCGCGCTTTAGGCCATCGGTAATGTGGTGCCAATACACAGATTCACATACTTTGTGCACTTCCGAGACAAGACAGGAGATATACAAAGACAAGACATACAGGACATCTGTTCCGGAGTTCTCTTCAAGAAGAGCTATGTCCTCACATTGAGCACTTGCGCCAGCAGCCTGGGACCAAGCAGCATTGCTGTTGTGAATGGCACCACCGATGTGCACAGCAAAATGTCCGAGCTGCAGGTACATCGTGAAGAGTTGTTGCCAGGCGTGTTGCATGGCAATGTTGGAAGACTGAGTGTCTCTTTTCTGTTCAACTATTATCCTGTATTTTTGGCCTGTAATGTAATGCTCAAAGTGGGGAGAGAACTTCCGTGTGCAGCATCCCTCAATGTTACTTACCAAATGGACTTTATGAGCTCCAGCCACTGAGGAGACATAAGCATGTCCAGAAGTGAAACATTCAATTGCAGAGTATTCCACTGTCATTTGTGGTGTCAACCAATCAAAACTGCACATCTCATCGAGTTTTTTTATTTGTGTGCCTGGGATCTGAAATGCTTTGATGTGCTGCCTGTCCCATGATGTGGTCTCTTGTCTGCAAGCAGTTTGAAGTTGAGTGGATCAAAGTCCATCCTGGTGGGAAAGTACGGCAAGCAGATGATGTCAGAGTTGCTGTTGTGAAGCTACATGGCAGCAGCTCTGTTCCCACGCCCACACTTGCTGCACCTGGATACGATTTGATCCACATTTACCCAAATCGGGTGCTGTTGGGTCTGGATGCTGGAGGGACTCTCCTAGGTGGAGAATTCATGGTGGTGTGGAACAACCTGTGTGAGGATGCTGGTTATATGGCTGGCACAGACCACTGCATGATTCAAAAGTCCAGGGAGCCTTTGTCAGGTGTGCAGGCAACATAGTAGACTGCTTACCTGACAGAACTTGCCGGAAGATTGCCACCTATTTGTTGATGAGTTGGCATAGGGGTTTGTATAACTTGCATTATGAGCATAGATGTTGTGCTCCACATACAAGGCAATGGCACGACCTTATTAAATATCAGAAAGTCAGAGTTGTGCAACCCCAAGCCAGTCCATGATCTTACATGTAACAGCATGCTTCAAAGGAGAACCTTGTGCAAGTTCCTTGTCCACAAGCTTGTGTCCATGAACAGAAAATGATGCGCTGATACTCTCCAGTGGAATGCTGAACCAGGCCAGGCATGGACAGATTGTAGACAGGATAAATGGACTCCAACTTTTCTTGGCGATCTGAATAACTTCTGTCTGCCACACACAGCCTCCTTCCACTGTGCACCATAGTCTGAGTTCTCAAGGCAGTTCTCATGCTTTGCAGTGACAGCTTCCGGTCTGTTCATGATCGCTCCGGATGAAAGGAGCTTCATGCAGGGACGTGGCATTGACTGGGGGGTCCCATGAGTGTGGCCTCTGACGACGATGTGGCCCTCGACGCCACCCGCGATGGACCCGACAGTGTCTACACACCCTTCAGATGCACTTCTGTTAGCGAATCATGGTTGTGGATCGATAGCGTGGCCAACCCTCCGGCACCAGATGTGCATCGTTCGAAATCGTTGTTTTATGGTATGGTGAACTGTTTTGCAGCACCCATTGAATCCATCAACTGATGCAAGTTCTCACAGAATTTCCACCCCATAAATAGCCGTATTAGTATCTGCCCCTCTGGAGCGTCCATTCCTTTCTGGGGATCATACGCGCCTTATCATCCATGACCCAATGTCAGTATCTACCTTCCAGTACTGGCCCTGTGTGCCACCATAATCGGCGGTTAATGAAACGCCTCCCAACTTTTCACCTGCGCACTGATCTGTGGGAAGCTGTGCTGCTCGTTTGTCAAGTGGCTGCAGCTCTGTCAGAGGTACTTGAGAGGCAGGTGAGAACATGCTTGATGTGCAGGTCGGATGTTGTGACAGCATCTTGCAATAATAGGAAGAGCATCTCCACAACTGGGGGGAAGGGGGACTTGGGGGGAGTCACTGGGCCTAATTTCAGTGGGCGAAATGGGGGGGATGTAGTTCAGAAGGAAAAGCTGTGGCTGCTTTTGAACATATTGTTTGCACCGGTGATTGCCTCCTAATTTGCCGTGTTTGTGAATTTAGGAACTTGAAGCTTGTGCAATCGACATATTGGCAATGCCCCAGCGCCATCATATTGTTTGGTTGTATTGCCTTCAGAATCATAGCACGCATTTGGAGATATACAGTAGAGGAAGCCGCGAATGCTGAGATATTTTTGTCCTATTACTCTACATATCAGACTTCAAGGCAGCCAACATGAGAGATTGTTCGGTTTGCAACTGATTACAGCAAACCTTTTTGCGCTGCAGGATTCCATCTTTGCAATATGGCCAACTGGGAATTCGTCGTACTGTGCATGGCCTTGGTCATGGCGATCGCGTGGATTGCAAAAGCGCTTCATCTTGCATCAATGATGGCTGCCAGATGGAGGTACATAGACTCAAGATATTCGACTGAATGCAGTCAGATGCATGTGCAATTTGCCCCTGAATTCGTTGGCTGCTTCAGAAAACCGCCATATTTATTCTTTTGGTCAGTTGATTATATATCTACTGGTTTGTTTATGTATTCATGAGTTCAGAAATTGATTTTTAATTAGTTCATTGTAGTTATGTATTTATTTTTTATTTACGCTATTTCTAGCCATGCCTGGAGAATTAATTGGTAAAGAACCATACAATCATCGGCCAATGGCCATCGGCCATCGGCTCGCCACTGCACTTTGTGATGGTTAGGCGTGTCCTCACTATGCTGTTGATCGAAATTGTTGCAGATTGGACGGCTGCCACCATTACATGCCGTTTCGGATATATTCACCTTTGAAGAGGCGTAGTGAATATTGTGGGAAGCCTAAATCCAGTTCAACACGAATGTCAGCTGCAATGACAAGGTCATTGGCAGCGGCGCCTCTTGCTCTGGCAGCATGCGGTAACAAAGCTGGTGAACGTTCATCAAGATTTCTATAAGGTGAACTGTTGTAGCCACGTTAATCCGTGCTGTAAGCTGGTGCATAATCTCACGTAACCTCTGTGCTGTTCATGCAAGCAGAAGGAGTGGTGGTTGGCGGTCGCGACTGTGAGCCCTAAAGGTACAGCCACCATCTTCGCTTAATTTGGGGGCAGCTGCCAGGGTTTGATGTGCGGGGCGCGTGGCCGGTCTACTTTGGACGGGGTGACGTGTGGCGGGGATCATGAATAAAAGATGTTGCAACAGCAGCACACATTACAGGTTGTTTTTCTGCAGTCTCGCTGAGGTTTTGATTATTTGCCACATGCGTACATGTGGATCTGGGTGATGTGGCAGTTTGTGATTTATAGGAATGTCATTGGCTGTGGGTATGTGCGCTTTGGTTGTTGGGAGACCGTAATGCTGGGAACATTCGATTTGCTGTTTAGCAGCTGAGGACGATCTCCTTAGGTGCTGTTGATGTGACTGCCACCGACCAGCACCCGAAGCACAATAACTGCAACTGCGGCAATTGCTGTGGAACTATACTTGGAGTGGATGAGGTCTAGAACGCAAACATTGGCATTGTCAGCTGCGATGGAGGGCATAATAATCAGTGCTGACATGTAGCCGGTGTAATGCCTATGGACGACAAAAAGCTGCAGTTTCCGCAGCGACCAACTCACGTCGCAGACGGTATGATCCCTTGCACTGCGGGTGTAAGTTTTGGCCAATTTTTCTTCTGATGTTCGACTTCCGCTGCAACGGTGTTACTGTTTAGAGGATGGGAAGCTTGAAGCATCCCCAGTGGACTGGTTTTCTTTGGTTATGGTAATTGGGGAGAATTGGAGAAATTGGGGGAAAGTTCGGAGGTTAAAGCTCAATGCAAAATAAATTCCCTTCGTTCTAAGTTAAGTATATGGAAGAGAGTTTTCCTTGAAAACAAGGAATATGAATTACACAAAGGATCAGAATTGAAAGATTGGGTTCTTGAACCCTTGGCTACCTGTTTGGAGAGAACAAGTCGGACTTAACCCGATTGAGAAGCCATCAAATTTGCTCTTGCCTTGCTCCTGAGGGTGTAAATTCACACCACACGTCCACCTAATCTAGGGGTCCCCACGCTTCTAGGGCACTCATGTCCCTGTATGGGAGAACACAAAAGTCGTTGCCATGGTTGCAGCAAAGGGCTGCGTTCGTACTGCTGAAGAGCATTTGCTGAACACAACCAACTGTATTTGGATTGTACGAGGTCATCGTAATTGCATTGATGGCATCTGAATCTCCGCCCTCTTTAAGCTACACTGCACGGGCTTGCCATCGGTAGAAAAATCCAGAAGTCAAAAATGTTATGAAAGGTTGTGTTTCAACATTATTCAAAGCATTCCGCTGCAGTTAACACCAGAGGCGAGGAGTTGCACATGGCTTGGCTTACAATCCACTAAATGCCACTTGCGGCCAAGTTTATGCGGGGTTCACAATCTATCACTGCCTAACTAGTCTCTGTTTTCGCTCAACACCTTGTCTATGTGGAATCCTTGGAAACTCCGAAACACAATCAATTTTGCCATTTCCACCTCAGAGGCCGTTCGCCATATCGCTGGCCGCCGCGCCATGGTGATGGCTATCGCCTTCTCTTGTGCCTTATTGAGGGGTATAGGAGGCCTCCTGCAGTTGCCTCCACAGTTTCCAGAAGTTAGAGCCCGGAAGGCAGCTCCGATCCAGCGCATTGATCTTGCCATCCGAAGGCAAGGAGCCGTGTGTTCTGTCGTTGGGCATTTCAGAAGGCATGTTCTACCGCTCAGCTTCACAACCGCCTTGCTGATTTTCAGTTCAAGTGTTGTGGATGGCATGCTTCGCCGCCAAAATGGTATGCTCCCCCTATCACGGAAATGACCGTTCTTGCTGTGATATTGAGTTCGAGGCTTTCTGGCCTTAGGAAGCCTCCTTGGAAGTGCTTTGACATCCATTGTGTCTAGTGGATTGACTTGATTCATGAATGGAATGATTGTATGCTACACGCTAATCGACTGAACTTTGAAAGAAATTCTGTTGTACATGAAGCTGCTGCGAGAGATTACTCTGCCAAAATCACAGACAACAATGAATTTGGGAAGGAAGGAAACAGAACTCAAGGAGACAAGTGCTGTTCAAAAAGTTGCGATCGAAGCAAGTGCATTCGGACCTGAATAACTGCCAGTGTTGCAAGCAGCCGTGGCACAACCAACAGCTCTATTACCGCAAGTAGGATGGAGTCTTGTATTGTTTCCCAGAATAGCGCACATTGACATTGCAAAGGGTGGTCCTGGAGGGCGCGAACAGCCTGTGGCATGAGGCGGTTTGTCACACAGAGCGAGCTCAAATCTCTGTCAGGAGATCTCCTGACGGGGTCTAGACCCCGGATACTGTCCCTGGACTTTGAACCTTTATTACGTCAAGCGGGCGCAGGTGTACTGTGCGCGGGATGCCATCCTCTGGATCGCACAATGCAGGAACCTGGCATGCACCTGGCACGCAAACGCCCGGTTCCGTTTGGTTCAACCTGGACAGGACATCCACCATATCAGCAAACGGTTTTCCCTCGAGGCACAAAAGCGCCGGCGGCACTCGACACATCCTCCAGCCGCCACTGCCCTTTTCATTTACGGGGCCCTTAAAGCACCGACGGCTGCGGCAACTTTTACCCTATGGCCAAAAAAGGGACCCAATTTAGGTCTTGCACCAGTCGCCTCGGACGCATCTCACCGTGCGGGCCTTTCCCTCCTCTCTGCCCCGCAGAACTGCCTTATTCTCTCGGACACGAGCCAGCGGGACCGCCAAGGCTTCAGATACAAGGTGCGAGAGGGCCTTGACTGGCGTTCCGCAGCGCGCCCGTCTCGGCAGCGAGTCCCCGGGTTGGCGATCAACCCCGCCGGC